AGTACAAATTTAAAATAACCCTGACTTTTTCTAAAGAATTACCATCCTATACCATTGAATTAATATTTCATTTTTAAAATAAATTAAATCAGAATAAAACCAAACCGTTGAGTCAATATTTTAAAAGAATCTGTTAACAATAAATATGTTTTCCCAGCCAACGAGTAAAGCTTCTTCTTGCACAAAACAATATCCATGCACGAACAACTATAAAATTATCGGTTGCATTTAACCTTTGTTCATAACAATTGTGTTGTAGAAAAAATATTGATAAATTGGCTCTTTTGTGTTGGCAAGTCAAAATTTTGGAAACTAAGAACTCTAAATTCACTTTGTATATAGTTCATTTTTACAACAATTATGATAACTTTCGTTAAATACAATCATATTGGTACATAATTCAGGTCGCTTAGATTTTGTCAACTTTGAAGGCCATGAAAAGGTCTTATATATATATCTAAGACTAAAATCGATAACTACAATCATATTGGTATAGAATTCAATTCGTTTTTGATAAATACGGTAGAACCTCTATAAATTAATACTCGATAAATTAATATACACTAAATATCTCTATAAATTAATATAATTTTATAGTCCCAGATTGAGTTTTTGGTTCAATTAGTATATCTATAAATTAATATCTCTCTAAATTAATAAAAAAATAAAATTTTGGTGTAGTCCCAATATTATTAATTTATAGAGGTTTCACTGTAATTAACCTAAACTTGATTGTAAAGTTTGAGTATCCAATTCTAATGCGTTTTATTAATTAGTTCATGCCTCATATAATTTCAAAATAAAGATTACGATCTATACAAACAACAATATAAAAACAAACTTATTTCCCACGTAACTTTCATGGAGGCTAATAACTACATTGCCATATATTCATATTTCGAAATTATTTCTAAATATTATTAAGCTTTTCTAACGTGTGTCAATATAAGGAATATGCTCAATAAAAAAAAATTGCAATATTTTTACCAGAAATTACGTTACAAGGAAAATATTACCATAACAAACGTATCCCCCACATATATCACCATCCTAATAACTATACTTATCAACTTCACCTTCCTTATTAAAGTTGTTCTATTAATATTGCAAAGATCTTGTAGTATAAAAAGAGAATATTCTCATACAGAAAAGAACTAAATGCACAAAATATTTATAAGTTTTGTTTAAAAAATAAATGGTAGATTTATATTATTTGCAATAACTAAATGCAGAAAATATTTATAATTTTGTACATTAATAACATAAATTTCACATACAAAAATATACATTTCAAATAATTTAATACTCAAATATTTTTTTATCTAAAGTATTTTAAATTTTTCAAATTATCCTAAAGATCCGAAGTACTCGAATAATTTTTATCCAAAATATTAAAATTTATCAAAATTATCTGATTTATATTCGAAAAACTCCTAAAATCTGTTTTTACCTCTGATTATTCAAATGAACTGAAAAAATGTAACCAACCATACGAATTAGAACCACGAATTTATCGGATATTTTGGTTTTTATAATTGTTACCCATACCGACCTGAAGCCAAAAGAACCGAACCAGACTCAAACCAAATTTTGTAAATAACTGAACGGTTTTTATATCTTTAGAATCAATAACCAAAAAATAAAAAAAAACAAACCGGAATTGAGCCAAAAACTGAACCTCAACCTATTACATTCAATATGATAATTATCAAACAACGTTCACCACAATTTCTAGAACACATTAATTACCATGTTTATGAGTTTATAATGACTTATAAGTTAAGATGACACCAAGTTAAGATGACATCCGCGCGGGCGCGCGGATCACAATCTAGTTTCCTTTATGTTGTTAGTAACCAATCACATACCAAGACTTATTGGTAGCCTTTTGGAGAACAATACATATATTCAACCTATGCATAGTCCATACAGTCTGATATTTAAGTAAGTGGCTAGCTGATTCTGTCTTTTGTAGACAATTTGGTACTCATTTCTAAGAACCAATAATAATATTTTTGGATGTTGGCATAACTAATATTCAATCTAAAGGACTATAAGGTGAATATCTTGTAGTTTGATGGGTTAATTAATATGGTTGATTGTAATTATGTAAATCACTTTGGAAACCCACTAATTTAATCCATGCTAAGTTAATGTAAAATAGTTTTCTTTAGTAACTGTAGTACTAGTTGTTTTCATGCACCATGTGCAGTGATAAACTTTTTAAAAGTTAAATTATATTTAAAATGAAATTTATTAATATTTTTTATTTTATTATTTTGACTAATATTTAATATAAATTTAATTTAATTAAGCACAAAATTAAGAAAAAATATTTTTTAAGTTATATTTAATAATATATATGTAATATGTTTACAATTCGAATCTTAGAATTTTTTTATCTATTTATTTTAGTTAAATGTATTAAATCAACTTGTAGAAATTACTAAGAAAATTCATATTAAATTGTATAGTTATTAAAAATTATAACTAAACAATATTTATAAAAAGATTCGATATCTAAAAGAAACTAATGAAATTACGATTAAAAATTATTAATTTTTTAAAAAGATGTAGAAAATTTTGAAAATATTAGTATTAAAATTTTCTCATTATAAAAATAAAGATAAATAACATTTCAAAATTTATAATGAAAATTTCAATATATTTATTTTTAGTGATGATTTGATTTATGAGTTATTACCATACTTTAAGAAGTTTACTGAAAATATAAATCAGCATTAAGAGTAATTTATCAATTATTTTCACATTTTATAAAGTTTACCAAAATTATATATCAACAAGAAATGTAATTGTCCATGTCATTAATCTTAGTAGTCATATCATCATTTTATTTGTAAAAATGATCGTAGAGTAAACATGTGGTAAATCACTTCGCAAATAATATATATGGGATAAATATAACTTCTATTTATTGTATACTATACTAAACCTTAAGAAATATAAAAATTTATAATTAAGAACTAATTTTTGGAAACCTTTAATATTTTATATTACAATCTACACTATTAAAATTGATCATAATGTAACCAAACCCAAATTGAAAAATAATTGAATGGTTCTTATATCCCTTGAACCAAAATAATACAAAAATCACAACTGAACAGAAACCAAAAAAAATCTGGAACCCAACCAAAAATCAAACCTCTATACCTACCTAATCAGAGGACAACCAGATGGATTAGCAAATTTATCAAGAAAAATAGTTTTGTATTTACTTAGTTTTGTAATTTATTTATACAAGTAAATTACAATTAAATAAACTAGTTTGCAATGAAGAGAAATTCAATTATTTAGAAGTCTGTTTGGCGTGTGGATACGATTTCAGTTTTGACTCGTTTTCCTAAAAGATGAACACATATTATAGAAGTTTATGCAATATCGTCTAAACAGAAATAGATAAATTTGAATCTTTTTCAAATTCTATATCCATATAATGGTTGCGCTAGATTGATGTAGGTACGAATTACATAACAAAGACAGCTAGATTTTCACCCAAAAACAGACATAGCTAGGTTATACAAAACCCTACAATTGTATATATTATATTTACATGAAACCCCACCACCACATATATAATAATATAGAGGCATGGCTTATACACACCAACGAACATATATATATTGCTATGTATATACACCTATATTACAGTAAAGCTATCTAGGTCTTATTACAGGGCTTGGGAAATATTTACACATAATCGTTGGTTAAAGAGCAGTACTTAAAGGTTTGATAAACGTTGGGAGTGGAAGCTGGAGAAACCAACAACTCAGAAGCAGTCCACAGCCTCTGAGCTTTAAGATTGCACGATCCAGATTTAGATGTCCGAGCTTCGTTGCAGTCTGAAAAGTATTTGCCAGACACGTTCCTCAATCTCGGACTCGTTGCTACGTAGCATGTCGTTGCTGCTGCCTATAAATAAATAATTAAAAGGGATCATTAATTTGTGTAAGATATATTTTCTTTGATGTCGTAGGCATAAATAATTATATACATGATTTATAAATGAAAAATCGATTAATTAGTGATTGACGTACCTGAGGAACGGACTTCAATAGCTTGGAGGTCAAGAAAAAGACTAAATCAGTGATGAGGCCGTCTCGATCTCGTGTGAGACGTGTTCTCACGATTCCAGGATGAACACAGTTGGCCGTCACATTAGCATCCATTTTCTGTAGTGATTAGTCGAATTATCAGAAATCATATTAAATTAATAGTGAAAGTAAGGAAATTAATTAGGGTTTTAATGACTAATTACATGGAGAATTCGGGAAAGCTCTATGGTGTGGAGAACGTTGGCTAGCTTGGAGAGCGCGTAAGCTCGAGTCGCATCGTAGTTTCTACAAAACGTAAGTCAAACTCATGACCTTATAATTCATTTAAGCAGAAATATAGAGTATCATTTCTCTCTAATCAACTTAATTAAAATAAATTAAAGAAAGACGGCGTTTATTCTTTGTCGTCGCATATTTCAACTTTTTGCTAATCATTTGTTAATTATACGCAAAATGATGAGTACGTGGTATATGATTGGAATATATATTATATATAAGATTCCTGTAAAATACCTATTGTTTCGGGAGATATCGGCGACATATTGCAGCATATCGCCAGAGAACCAGCTATGGATCACCGACGTGACGTTGACTATACGGCCTTGAACGCCGGTTTGCTCCGCCGTTTCAATCATCTTCTTTAACAGCAGCTTAGTCAGCAGAAAATGGCCTGCGCGTCCATACAAAAATAATAAAGTTAATAACTAATCACGACTAGACCATATAATATAAATGTTAAATAGTATAAGAAATTACCGAGATAATTAGTTGCGAACGTCATCTCAACGCCGTCCTCAGAGATGGCGTGCTTCTGCGCGTATTTTCCAGCATTGTTGCTGTAATCCCGGAGATTAATTAATTATGAGATATAAACATGACAATGAATAAGAAGAAGAAGTTTAAATAAAATAATAGTAAAATTACATGAGGATGTTGAGAGGGAGATGAAGAGATTCGAAATCCGCTACAAAGCGACGAACGGAGGCGAGTGAGCTGAGATCGAGATGCAAGACAATGATCTCCGCATCCGGAAACTCAGAGAGGATACGTGACTTTGTTTCCTCGGCGGTTTTGAGACTCCTAGCCGGAATCACAAGCCTCGCTCCACGCTTCGCCAGAACACGTGCAGTCTCTGCTCCTATCCCCGACGTTGCTCCAGTGATGATGGCTGTTAGAGATTTGAGATCACAATTAACAGTGACATGCTCGGCGGTAGATCTTGATCCAAATCCGCTGGAGCCACCGGAGCCAATCAGGTGTTTAACTGTCTCAATCATCTTTCCTTTCTCTCTCTCTGCTGTGTCTATTAGGTTTGGTTTATGTTTCTGTTGTGGAGAGCAGTTGAGTATTTTGGAGAGTGTTGGAGTGAGTATTTATAGTGCTCCGTGTTGGAGGAACATAGCAAGACATATGTGGAGAAGGGAGACAACATTCCTCTATGTTGTGTAATTGGGATTTAAATTTCGTTAAATTAATAAACAATTTACTGGCACCAAAACAAAATGAAATACGGAACAATGTGATTAAAATAAATGTTTGGTTAGCCAACTCTAATTGACTAAGACAAATTAATAGAGGATGATGACTCACAGAGCAAAAACTATACTTGAAATGGGTGATTACAAACCATAATCCTCCAAGTTTTCTTCGAAATAAAAAAGCATTGTAAGTTGAAACAATGCATAGATAGTGCCATGTTTTGGGTAACACTCACTATTTATCAATACGATGTCCAACTTTTATTACTCCCTCCGTTTTATATTAAGTGTCATTGTAGAGAATTTTTTGTGTTATAAAATAAGTGTCGTTTTTGGTTTTCAATGTAAAATTTATTAATTTTATTATGTAATTTATTTTTCTATTGGTTAAAATATGGTTAGGTGTATGGGTAATTGTGTTTTTATATAGGAAATATGTAAAATTAATTGTTTCCTTAATCCGTGTGCATAGCTGTAGAGTGACACTTATATTGAAACAGAGGGAGTATGGTATTATCCTCCGAATCTTTTATTTCCATTTCATGCATGGTCCCCTTCCTCTTTAACATACACATTTGTATAATCCATAACAGGTGACAAAAATATGTTCAAACACTCTATCTCTTACCGAGTCATACTCTATATATAAAAGTGCAGGTTTTATTCTAAAGGACCTAAGAATTAATACACAATCACGTACGTTTATACATAATTTATTATTCATTTAGAAAACCTATGAACCGAACTACACTAGTTTACCATACTATGGTTTCCTCCTCCAACATATCTCATGCATTTCACTATCTTTCGTTTATATATAGGAATGATCTTTGGTAAGATAAAAGCTTCTCAACTTTATTTACACTCTTCGTATTACCAGATATATAAACCTTTTCGTATTCTTAGCATTTCTAAATAAAGAATCCTAAGACAAAATTTGATTATGTTTTTTTCTTCATACCGCTACGAGTATATCGCTTATGAAAGTGAAAGAAATTAGTCGGTTAATAACATGCATATAGATTATAGACAGTAACACTTTAATACATTTTGAAACACAGAGTATATTGAAAATTCGTTCAAAAAAAAAACACAGAGTATATTGTATGAGAAGCGGTTTATATGTTTCATATGTGTAGCAATAACTTTAATCTTTACATCACTCCATTTATACATGGAGTATAAATTAGTTTTTTTGCAGTTATTTTCTTTTTTCTTTCAAAATTTCACTCTTCAACCATTACTTCTTGTATCTATTCTGCAAACGCAATAGTTGTTAATGTTATGAATGCTACAAGCAAACGAAGGAATAGAAAAAAAAAAGACTTGGATGATCATTAATTTAATCTAAGATTTAAAATATATATGATCTTAATACATCACAATTCCTCAAACACATAGTTATATGATATGTGGAGAATATCCTTAAATTCCACCTTTAAGTAAATTGTCACGTAGTCAATTTTACTAGTGAAATTGTAAGTGGTTCATACATAAGATACGGTGGGGTTTTGAAGAATGGCACAATAGAGTAAGCTAATTGGTCTCTTTGTTCTTGGAGGATCCAATCCATCAATGGATGAGAAGAAGATCTGCTTCAAGGTTATTATGAAAATCATCAAAAAGTAATCTTACCCAAATCCAACTACTACCCACTCACAATTCCACTAATTTCATTTATAACTATTTCTTTATTTTAAAATATGTCTCAACTACAAACTATACATGTGTCTTTCACTAGAACGATCCATCTAAATCGTATTTAACTATTGTCTCATATATAGTATATAAACTCAATATGGGGATTTGAGAAAAACAAACTCAATATGAGGATTAATTTTAGGTATTCTCAAGAGGATCAGGTCAGAATATTGCTTTGTAGAGAATTGGAATCTAAATAAGTTCTCAGATTATATACTTGCATCTCATCTGTAGAAGTTTGCAAAAAGGAATTAGGTTATGGAAGACATTTATATGTATTTGTACCTCAAAGCTTTTTGACTCACCAAAATTTTTTTTATCGTTTCACTATATTCAATTTTGGATATACCGTGATGCATCTAGAAACAACCTTTTCGTTTTGTAATGAATCTAACATGAATATTTTCAATGATTGATCTTAAATTATGAACTTTTTTTTGAAACTAAATTATGAACATTTTATGGACGAAAAAACTCAATTAGTTTTCCTTTATTTCTTTATTTGATAAACAAGGTGGTCCAACCTCATCAACAATCAAAGGTGGACAATACAAATATAATAAAGGAAATGATAGAAGAGACGTTGAGATAAACTTAAATTAGATGAAATGTTATGAATAGTAAATAAATTCCTCCAGCTTGGGAGGCCTTGTCTGTTTCTAAAGATCCCGCACTACATATATATTAAGAATAGAAATTAGGATCGTTGGGTGAGAGACGTTGAATATACAATAAACTTTTTGATCAAGTGGAATTAAGAAAAGAGAGACTCCTCCACCTTTGGAATCGGAATGGCATTGAGAAAGTTGGAATCTTTGCTTTATGTGTTAAATTGGGTTAGGTTGGTTTATTAGATTACCAACTTAATTGCCTAGAGCGTTGGTCACATCCTCTTCCTATTTGGCCTGCCACTATTGCTACCATTTCCTTTATGTTGTTAGTAACCAATCACATACCAAGTCTTATTGGTAGCCTTTTGGAGAACAATACATATATATTCAAGCATGCATACAGTCTGAGATTTAAGTGAGTGGCTAGCTGATTCTGTCTTTTGTAGACAGCTTGGTACTCATTTCTAAGAACCAAAATATAGTTTTGAAACTTGGTATAACTAATATTCCATCCGGAGGACAATATTGTGAATTTTTGTAGTTTAAACGAAACTATTTGCGAGCAAAATTGCCGACTTAGTAACAAAAGATTCTGTAATGGCCTTCCAAAAAAAAATTTGCAAAATAATTTTTATAGACGAATATAGATCCTTAACATCGTTGAGTCTTGGTCTTGAACAACATACTCCAATATATATAGTGGGAAGTAGATAATCCAACCAGATCGAATGAATATTCTTTGTGGTTTTTGTTTCTTTTACATGGAAATTTCTTGCAAGTTGTAAGTTTGTGGTAATAATAACGTTGAACGAATATTACACTTGTGATTTGCAGCGGGCGATATATCCTATAAAGTTTCTTTGAAATATTTCTTTAATTATACATTTTGAAAGTTTTGATAGTGTGACGGATAATTAAAGATCCCTTACGTCTTAACACAAGATCGTATCTTGCTTTTCGTATATAATAACATTATGTGTTAACCACATTAAAGTTTTAAAAATAAGTTAGCACGAGTTTCATTGATCAAACACAGCCACGAGATACATGAGATATTTTTTTATAACACTGAATATTATTAGGCCGGTAGGCGGAGTTCAAACAACGGTTCCAAAGAGAAAAAACCAGTAAAGGCATTGTTCCAAAACGAAAATCACAAAACCTACCAATAAGCAGGCGAGAAAGAAGATAAAACACAAATGGCTGTCTCAAAGGATCGCACACAAGACAAACCACTCACTTCAACGAAGAAAATAAGATACAGGAGATATAGATTGATATAAAACGGATCTCCACATAAAATTCCTAGTCAGATCAAACCTCTAAAATTCAAAACAATCATTCTTTTTATCTGTTAATTTGTTGAAGATCTTTTATGTTTAATTAATTTTCAAGTGATCAATATATTCTAAGAAAGGATAAGATAAAGAAAGTCAAGTAAAAAAAGGGTCAGTAGTTATAAGAGATGATGATCCATGTTCCTAAGCATGCATAAAATCAGGGTTTGTATCTATATAATATATCCCAACGTTTTTGACATGAAGCAGAAAAAAAATAATAAAAAAAGGGAGGGAATCCATGGACAAGTGTTGGAGAAGAACCTGAAACTGACTGACAAAGTGAAGTTGTTTGTCATTGTTTAGGAGAAATGAGTTAATAAAAGAAACGGTTGTGTAAATGCAGACGACAGTTACTACGGACTTTTGAAGAGCCCTGATCCTTAATGTGCAGCAAGACAAAAAAAACCTGAAACTAGATAGACCAATCTAAGCCAATGTTTGACTGACAAAGCCCATGCCTCCATTTGGAAAGAGGAGATTCATCAAGTCTTTCCCTCTTCGCTCTCTCTCTCTCTTGTTTTCACATTCATGTTAACTAGACATACTCAGAAGTACCGAGTAGACCACACTATAAAGAGCAAAGAAAAGTTACCCTTTGATTGGAAAAAGTTAAGAAGTGTGTTGTACAAGTGAAGTCAATGGAGCCAAACAACAACAAGGATTTGCAGAAGAAACAAATGAAGAAAAACAAGCTGACACCAAGTAAGTCATTCAAGGAGAAGAGGTCGAGACTATACATTATTAGGCGATGCCTGGTCATGCTTCTTTGTTGGAGAGAGCCTCGTGATTGATTAGTACGCTACTAGAGAAGAAAAAAAAACTACGTAAAGCTAGGTGAGTACTCATGTAAAATATAACTAGAGTTTCTATTTCATAATCAGACTAACTCCAGAGCTGTCCCATCATCATATTGCTTTGAGTATTGTTGTTCAGATCATATGTAGAGCCTAGAGGAGAAGGAAGTAATGAAGATAGGATACCAAAAGCACTTATCCTGATGATGGTGTTTCATGCATAGCAGCTGACATGTTTTCTTGTGGCATTTATGAAGGAATCAGAGAGACTCTTACTTTCAAAAATGTATGCATGTAGAAAAAGGTATCGATGAATGAATAAATGTTAGTGTAAATTTAGAGTTTCGAAATAGTATTAATGTGAAATGATTTCAGATACGATAATAGTACTTGTGTCCTTGCAAGTTTTGATTAGTTTTAATGTTTCTGTAAATTTGGTTAAAAACTTTACATTTCATTAAGGTGATACAAGTTTTGATTAGTTTTACATCCAAACTTTCACAACTACTAGAAACAAGACAGCATAGAACCATCATTATTTTCCTCACACTATAGGATTTCTTAATCTTCATAGTTGCCTTAAGAAGTAGAACTTCTTCTTTTAAAACACTAGCTTTGTTATTTGGGTTTATGTTATTTGGTTTGTTATTTATGTTCGCAGAATTTGGTGTAACTTAAGATAACTTTGGTTAAGTATCTCATTTTTGTTTGTCAAACTTCGTAAAATTTATATTACTATTTTTTTCATGTGTATGTAATTAGGTAAAAATTTGCTAAAGTTTTCCATATTCATACGTCAAACTTTGTATAACTTAGTTTTTTTTTTCTGTTTGTACAATTCGATAAATTTTGTCAAAATTTTTTTTTTCATTTGTAAAATTTTGGAAATTATGATTAAATGTACAACGAAAATATCGAAAATACCATGAAAGTAGGAATATCAATGTTTTTCTTCCATTACCGAGTCCTTAATCCGCATGGTCGTTTGAGAAACCACACAAAGACATCAATAATATTGGAAATAAGGATTTGGCTCAGATTTGGAGAACTTGTCAATAATACCTTCGACGATGCATCAACACTTAATAGGTAGCCTTAGAGTTTTGACTCTTGATTGACTACTATTTTCTGGAAAATAACCTGAAAATTGCCCATTAGGTGAAGAAAGATGCAAAAAGGGAAATGAGATGAGAGAAAACGGGTTGAAAGGATTGAGAAGATAATAGAAATAAGAAAACCCTAAAATTAAAACAATTGCAGTTACCAACTTTTTTTTTGGGGTCTGAAAAAATAAAATTTTAGGAGGGAAAATTCTGAAATTTGGGCGGAAAATTTTTTAGAGCATTTTCAGGATCGAAGTCTTACCAAATTTGTAGTTTTAGAAAAAGTTTCAAAGTTTTACTTTTCTTTTTTTTGGCATTTTTGGGTCATATTGTACTCAAAAGATTTATATTATAGTTATACCATATTTAGTTTCTTACAATCATTTCTCATCAAATCATGTTGTAATATAATTAATTTTGGGGTATATATAAGTTTTGTCACAAAATCATAAAAGAACAAAGTATTTCCTCTATTATAAATAATACACAACTATGTGATGAAATTTTTTGACTATGATTATTTCGAATTTAAATCAGAAAAATACAAACAAATATTAAGCATAATACTTGTAAACAACCAAACTGTTTAGAAATTTGTATCTTCAAATTTTTGTATTTTATCAATTGTACTAAGTTGTACATAGTTTTCTAAAGTTTTTTTGAAGAAGCATCTTGAATAATAGATGCAATTAACGTGGTGTATATTTCCTTCTGGTTCCTGAGTTTAAGCTTTTCAAAGAGCAAAAATACATTTTGATGTTTATTTTAATCAAAATAAATCAGAATTCTTAATACTTGAAGCTCATATAGTTCTTTTTTTTGAGCAACTAGAGCTCACATTTCAAAATAATAATTTCAAAACCGTTATGGTGTGATGCTTAATCAACTAAATATTTAAAATGCTCTCCATGTTATCCAAATCAATAAATACAATGTCTCTATCTCGAATAATTACATCTTCTATTGATTCAGTCATCATCTTAAGATGCGGTTATGTTTTTTCAATTGCCTCATAGGTTTACTACGAGTGAAATATAACTCAAATTCAGCATTTTTGTACATGGATTTATGGTCATTTTTCTGCATATACTATCCATTAGCATACAAGCTATCTTCGTTTGGAATTCATTCACAACTATCTCTGGTTTTATAATAGTACTTTTCATAATCAAAGTGTACGTTTCTGAAAGAACTCATCGTCCCTTGCAAAAATCAAAATGATTAACAATCAGTTAAATGAAGTTGCAGGTTTAACCATAAAATTTTATCAAGTTATAAAATTTTACCCAATATAATTATATCAACTTATACAGTTTAGTCAGTATAATTTTACCTAGTTACACAGTTATACAATATAGCTTTACCAAGTTGTATAAGCTGTACGATTATAGTTATATATAATTGTACATAGTTTACCATTTTATTCATACCAAGTTTTACTATGTTTTCTTGTTTTTAGATTAAAATACGATTTTTTATGATTATATAAGTGTTTTTGATTATCCAAATAGATCGAGATCCATTGTTCTCAATGTTTAATTAGTTAATTGTGAACATGAATTTGAAGTTGAAATTTCTAATTTTTCACGAATGAATTAATGGAGAAATAAATGTCAGACTGAATGTAACTTGGACAAATCTGGGTTAAAGATATACAGTAGCGAGAGAAAAATGAATAAGATAGAACAGGAAAGAGAATGATTTTGATTGATTTAGTAAAAATGGATAATTTAGACATTAATCACGTTTTTAAGAGTATGAGAAAGAATTAGTTTTGCAGCATTTTACCCATTTAAAGTACACCCAGTTCCTCAAAACGGCAACGTCTCACTAAACTAAACAATACTCATTTTTCTCGGGGGTTTCCACCTTCTCCTCCGGTGGTAACCGAGAGAGCTCTGCACGGCGTCCACACATCTTTTCAACTGTTACATTCCGTTCTAACTCCGAGAAAATTGGATGCGGAGATCTATTTCTGCCACCGCGATCGCGTCAACAGCGACCAAAGGGTGGTTTCGATCCTTTTCTGATTACCGAGAAAAGCTGAAAAATGGACTTCACTCTATCACATTCCACGACGCGCTTGTTTTATTCTCCAACATGGTTCACTCTCACCCCTTACCTTCCATTATCGATTTCACTAGATTACTCTCTTCACTCGCCAAGATTAAAAGACACGACACCGTCCTCAAACTCTGCCACAGATTAGAATCGTTTGGAGTTTCACACGATCTCTACAGCTTCACTCTTTTCGTTGACTCTTCCTCTCGTTGCTCTCACTTCTCTCTTTCTCTCTCCCCCATAGCAAAGATGACGAAACTCGGGTTTAAACTGACAATTGTCACACTTGGCTCCCTCCTCAACGGGTTCTGTCGGAGTAACAGAATCAACGAAGCGTTTTCTCTGTTTTATGCAATGAGCAAATCCGGATACGAACCTAATCTTGTAATTTACAACACTCTTATTGATTATAACTGCAAGAACGGAGATTTGGAAACTGCTTTAAAGGCTTTCAACCAAATGCAAGAAGATGAAGAAGTGGAACCAGATGTAGTTACCTACAACACTTTAATAACCGCTCTTTGTAACTTTGGTAGATTTACGGAAGCTCTTGGACTACTCAGAGAGATGGAGAAGAGGAGAATCAAATTTGATGTTGTCACTTACACTTCGTTGATCGACGCGTTTGGGAAAGAAGGGAAACTTTTAGAGGCTTATGAATTGTATAATGCGATGATCAGAAGCTCCTCTGTTGATCCTAATGTTGTCACTTACAACTCGCTCATCAACGGGCTTTGCATTCACGGTTACATACCTAAAGCGAGAGTAACATTTGAATCGATGGTAGGCGAGGGATGTTGTCCAAGCGTGGTGACGTATAATACTCTCATAAATGGGTTTTGTAAGTCTGGGAGGGTGGATGACGGGATCAGACTCTTTCACAGGATGCGTTGTGAAGGGTTGGATGGGGACACGATCACTTACAACACTCTTATCCATGGTTTATGTCAGGCGGGTAATCTTAGAGCTGCTCAAGAGATTTTAGGGTGGATGGTTTCTTGTGGTGTGGTTCCTGATATTGTGACTCGCTGCATTGTGTTACATGGTCTTTGTGTTAACGGGAAGGTAGAAAACGCAGTGGTGAAGTTCGAGGGAATAAGAAGAAGTGGAGGGTATGTTGGGCTTGTTGCGTATAACATAATGATTCACGGGTTGTGCAAGACGGGTAAAATGGAAGAAGCGTTGGACTTGTTTCGTGGACTACCTGGGGAAGGAGTGAAGCCTGATGGTAGAACATACACGACAATGATTCACGGGTTTTGCAAGACGGGTAAAGTGGAAAAAGCGTGGGGCTTGTTTCGTGAACTCCAATGGGAAGGAGTGAAGCCTGATGGTAGAACATATAGGACAATGATATTAGGATTGTGTAAGAATGGGCTAAGGCGTGAAGCACATGTGCTATTTAGAAGAATGAAGAGGATGGGCTTATATGCCAATTGAATGGCCATGTAGGAGGAGGAGAGCGTCACAAAACGTAACTGGGAATAAAGATGTGCTAATGTTGTTATATGATCGGTCAGGCCAAGTCATATACTTTTCTGTGAGACTGGGATTTTAGGCAGAGTCTAAGGCTAAGCTTCATATAAAAGCCATGTAAAGGCTTCAAGTGTAAAACTGGTGCAGAGCTAGAGAGGTAGATAGATAGTTTTTTTATCCTCGTTAAGGCAAAGTCTAGGCTTGATTTAAATTACTTTAAGCTATCTTAAACTAATTTTAATCGATCTAAATTAGTCAAAACTTTAACGTGCGTAGGCCTTCCGCTACGGACCCTCCCTGCAGTGCGCCCCTTATGTTAATTTATACAATAACTAGATCTCGACTGTGCGGGTATTTTAATACGAAAATATTTGAAATTATATAATATTCCTTCTGTTTCAAATTAGATGATGTTTGAAAGATTTATTTTGTTTTAAAATATAAAACGTTTTGAGATTTTAAGATATATTTTGAGGTTTTAAGGTTGCTTTTAACTTTATTGGAAACTGTTTAACCAATAAAATTTTATTGTCTTTTTAATAATTGATTGAATGATTTTCAAATTATATCTTTAAAAATACTTTTGTAAAAGAATGTAAATTTCTTAATCTTTGTGAAATGATCCAAAACATCATATATTAAAAAATGGAGGGAGTAAAATTTATCAATAAATAAATATAATTTGATTTTGTATACTATCCAATTTTATAATAATATTTATGTGGCTTCTAATATTATTAATTTATGTGGCTTATAAATTATTAATTTAAAATTTATAAATTTGTATTTTTGTAACAATTTTTAAAAACATTATTATGTAACATTACTAATTTATATTTTTTTTATTTCTAAATTTAAAATACATGTAAAAAGTAAATTAAGTTGGACCTACATAAATACATAAACAAAAATTTTGGATATTCTTAAAAGTATTTTACATAATTTTAATATTTTGTTTATAAATGAAAAAAAATGAGTTAAAATTTTAATTATATTTTATGATAATTAAAATTCTAATAAAATAATTTTTGAAACTATATATTGAAAAAATTCTAAAATACTTTTAAAAGATTTTGTTAGAATCTTCTTAAAACTATTTATTTGTATTTCAAATAAAAATTAAAGATATGAAAAGATATTATAATGATGTAATGTAAAATTTTATAAAATTTCTAAGGATGGTCCAAACTAAAAATCACACATGAAGTGTGTCATGACTTCTCTTTTAATATAATAGAATATATTTTATGATAATTAAAATTCTAATCAAATAATTTTTGAAACTATATATTGAAAAGATTCTAAAAGACTTTTAAAAGATTCTGTTAGAATCTTCTTAAAACTATTTATTTGTATTTCAAATAAAAATTAAAGATATGAAAAGATATTATAATGATGTTATGTAAAATTTTATAGAATTTCTAAGAATGGTCCAAACAAAAAAAATCACACATGAAGTGAGTCATGATTTCTCTTTTAATATAATAGATATTAGAACAAATCTTAAAATTTGTTTAATTTCTTTTGTGTTATATATTCACTTTTAAATTCAAAGTCAAAATAATTTTATAACTAAAACCAAGAAATAAGTACCCTATACATTACAAACATGAAAAATATGTAGAATAAACCAAGAATTTGTTAATGCATAAGCCTCGTCTAAGATTTGAATAATTTGTCTAGTGCTAATCCTCTGCAAAACATTAGTTACCAGATAACATTTCTTGAACACATTAGTTACCAGATAACATTCCTTGGACATTAGGAATAATAAAAAAAAAAGATATAAAGGCTGTATAAGAGCATCCACAAAGGTGAATTTCATTGTGGAGTCCTTAGGAGTATTTTAATAAATTTTTGTTTTTTGAATAGTTAAGAACTCTTAGGAAAATAAGCAATCCAATGGTGGATTTCTTCTAGGAATCCTCAAAAAAAAAGTGTTTTTTTTGTTAAACATAAAAAATTTAAAATTTTATTAATTGCATTGACTGATTTAATAACATCTATTTAAATAATGTAAATTTTTATGTTTGTTCAAATGTAGCAAAATTCGACTTTAAAAGATTACTAGATTTGATCCGCGCTTTAAAAGCGCAGAAATATTTTTAAAATTCTAATAAAATTGATTCAATTTATAACATGTATTAGAAAAGAAGAAATTTAAAAATTATTTTATTAATATTTCATAACAAATTGTTCTATTACAATTTATAAGGTTTGATTTTTAAGCAGTGTAGTTATATCAAACCTCGACCGTTAAACCAATAGATCTAGCAACTTTTGTTAACTAAAAATCCAATAAAATCCAGTAAAAATATAAAAGAAAATCTGTAATTAATCGATGATCTAATATCTGATGATCTGTTAAAAATACCAAAATCTGCTTATAGTTCAAAAATTTTGATTAAATAACTCATACCTTTGAATATTATATGAAATTTAAAAACTTGTAATTCCTAAAAATTTGATGAAAATTTTATTATATCATTCACATAAATTGAAAAATAGTAATAGAAAAAAATTTATTGATATGACAATAGTTTCTTTTCGTTATTAATAACCTATCATAAACTTTTATTTTTATATATAATATTTAATCCTATCATAAGTTTTCAAGTATTTTTGAATACTCGAAACTGGAATATAAATATTATGTACAAATGACACAGTAAATAAATTTTAAAAATGACTTTCATGTATATATTCATATTTGAACGTTAAATAATATTATGCGCACAAAAAATGATATTCAAATTTAAATAGAGAAAATCATTTGCAGAGAAAAATGTAATTATTATCTTTCATAAAATATGGAAAGTATTACTTGGCACAAATATAGGGAATATTTTGTTTTTTGTTTAAATAAAAATAATAATTCTATTAGAATTAAATGTTAATGGCATTCTTTTTTAAATAACTCAAACATTAATGGCAGAATCTTATAAGGGATTCTGCTTTTATAGTATAGGATTTATTTTTATATCTAATATTTAATCCTATCATAAGTTTAAAGTATTTTTGAGTACTCGAAACTGGAATATAAATATTATGTACAAAGGACACAGTAAATAATTTTTAAAATGACTTTCATGTATATATTCATATTTGAACGTTAAATAATATTATGCGCACAAAAAAAGATATTCAAATTAAATAGAGAAAATCATTTTCAGAAAAAAATATAATTATTATCTTTCATAAAATATGGAAAATATTACTTAGCACAAATATATGAAATATTCTGTTTTTAATTTAAATAAAATAATAATTCTATTAGAATTAATGTTAATGACATTTTTTTGTAAATAACTCAAAAACTAATGACAGAATCCTATAAGGGATTCTGCTTTAATAGTATAGACTAGATTTTGACCCGCGCTTTCAAAGCGCGGGTAATATACTGTTTAATTCTGAGTATTCGGATCCTCGAGTCGTGTCTGGATCGAGTTTTATCGGGTTCATGTCTTTCGAGTCTTAGAAATTTGGACCCATATAAGTATCTATAATTTTTCGGGTCGATTTCAGATCAGGTCTTATCAGGTTTGTTGGTTCGGGTATATTATCGGGTCGATTCGGGTATTTAGGACCCGAAAAGGATCCGAAGGACCCAAACTGGATCCCAAAACCCGAAAACCCTAAAAAGACCCGAAGAACCGCAAAAAAAAAAACCAAAATTTTATCCAAAATCAGACCCAAAAATCAAAAATATACCCGGAATTTTACCCCGATACCCGAATTATATTTTTTTGAAATCTAAAAGTTTACCTAAAACCTAATATTATATTCGAAAATCCAAATCTGAAACTTTAAAAAATACCTAAACTATCAAAAATATATCCAATCACCTAAGTATACCTAATATATACCATAATTTGTGGATACTTAGAATACCCGATCGGGTTTCTAGTAGGACCCGGACAAACCGAGACCTGCGGATCCAAACAAAAAATACCCAACAGATACTTTAGCAATGACCCGAACCCGGACCTGGATCTGTATTTTCGTGTCGGTTCTTGTTCGGGTCTGTGTCAAATACTCAGACCTACTTCTTTTGATAAATTTGTAAACTTACAAATATATAATTTTTTGTATAGATTTGAAGCTCATTTCGTTGCAAATAAATGTTAAAATTATTGGACTTTTAATTGGCGATTTTCATTGGGCTTTAAAAGGATGATTTGATTAAAAATAAAAGGAAGTGGAATGTTTTGTAATTTTCTTAAAAATTAGGGGTAGATTCATAAGCAGTCATCTGCTTTAATAGTATAGATGAATTTGACATGTATAAGCGATCGAGTTTGGAGTGTATGAATATTAGGATGAAGACATAAGTTTAAAAATAACTTGTAACAACAGAGCAACAAGAGAACAACAACAGCTACATAAGATAGAAGAGACTTAAACCTTGTTCTTGATTAGTTAGTAGGAGAAACAAAATACATTACAAGTCTTTCATTACAAGTCCAAGAGAAAAAAAGTACAAACCAAGTAGCTTACAAGAGTGATGAAAAGGAAACAAAGCAAATGACCTAGCTAAATAGAAGTGAAGTTAGACAGCAGAACCCGTGAAGAAGATCACATGTCCTACAGGGAAAACAACTTGCACTTGTCCAACACCCGTGAGTGAACTTGCAACAACAAAAGCATTACAACCTTAGGCAGTACGACCGGTGAAACGAAGAGCCGGGGAAGTTAGCCAGAAGCAATGTGACCTGCAGAACAAGACAAAACAAGCAAATTAAACTAGAAGCAATGTAGTAAAAGAAAGAACAAGCAAGTTATTAAAGACAGGACACGCAAGTCAACTCTAACACAAAAGACTCACCACTCTTTTTTCTCAAGTGTTTGCTCAGTATTTCAGAACACTTTTTGCTTTCCGGACATACACACATCAATGGAAAAGTTTTCCCGTCTCCAACCACATTGAACACAAATAAGTCTCTTATGTCGCATATGTTATCAAAATAGAACTTTCTCCAGCCTCTTCTAATGTAATACATGCCGCTTGATTCACTAAATCGCAAACTCACAGTCCATGAATTTCCCTCTTTGTTCACTAGTATCATTTTTTGGCATTGTCTGTTCAAAGCAGTAGAACGCGTAGCTGCCACATGAAGATGTTGCAAACACAGAACGTAAAGACACAGAACAAATCATAAGTTTGTCTTCTTTTAGTTTTGAAATAGAGACACAAAATGTAAACTACTCACAAGTTTGTCTTCTTTTAGATTTGAAGCAGTGACCTCAGCCAAAAAAACAGTAGTCGAATGAGAAACATTGCCTATGTTCCTGCAGCATCATCCGCGTCGGCTTCTTCCTTGATGATGTGAGGATGTGTATATTGAATCTCACAACAGCTATGACCGAAAGGAGTGACATGAAACACCATGTCTCCTTCGTGTTTGAACATGGAAATGTCACCGATTCGAAGGTCATGTGCTGTGGTGAAATCTTTCCAACCTCCGGTGAGTCTTCTGCCTTCTTGTATCACTTCCCAAGTGTTATCTGAAGCGTCCGATCTTAGATTCCATGTTTTCTGGTTCGTCTTCCTTCTATGTGCTTTGAGAAGAAGGCAAGTGATATTGTATACAAGTCAGAAAAGGCAAAGTTAAGCAAAACTCAAAAATTAGGAACATATACAAAGGAGAAATAGAGAGAATGTGTCTACCACGCCACTGTGGAAACCAGGAAGCAGAGGCTTGAAGAAATGAGGTTTATGCGGATTCGCCATCTGCTAATAAAAGAACCATTAAGAACACAACAGTCCCATTTTTATCAAACCGTAACTAAACAATCGCAAATCCTCTAAACTAGTAAGAACAAAACATTCACAACATTAAAAAAAATCCCAAACCACAACAGTCAACACAGATAGAGCACATATAGAGAACACAGTCATTACAAAACAATCACAGAAGACAACATACAAAGCACAATATGTAAGAGAAGCTACTCTTACAACAGTCGTTAATACAAATGACAGTGTATAACCCTAATCTATTTGTAATCAAAGCACATAATAAGAATCAGAAGCTCAACAGACTAACAACACATAAAGAGTATAAGATAAGAACCAGAAACACTAAAGAGAAGAGTAACACTAAGTTAATACAAATCACAGAATCAATTCTTCTCTTAAGGTAATCAACATTTGTAATCAGAATGGTGTTTCGAAACCGTAATAAGAACAAACAAGAAGAGATCCTAAATCAATTGAAAACCCGAATCTTTTAGAGCATATGGATTGAAAAAATGACAAATCATTTACAACCGAATGAAAGCGAACACATATAAACCTAAAAGGTTTTGAAACCGTTAAGAAAAAAGAGAAGATCCGCTTCATATTGAAACCTAAATCATTTCGAAACCGTATAAGAAAGAATAGCAGATCCGCTTCGGATTGAAACCAAAATCGTTTCAAAACCCTTTCTACAAACAGCCATACTCGATTTTAACCCCAAATCGATTTATCCCCAAATCTTTTTGAAACCCTAATTTCAAAAACGATACCCATATCGATTGAAACCCCATTCCCAAACCCTTAATTGAGAGGAAACGAGATGAAAACTGATCTAAATCGAACAAATATGCAAGTTCAGGCTTCAATTTACCTTCGTGAAGCTAATGGAGAGAAATCACCACGCTATCGCCTTAAGTCTCGAGAGCTATTTTTTTTCGTTTTCCGTCGAGAATGACCAAATTTTTTTGACCCAATCCAAACACAAACCAAACCTGTCTCATTCACACGCTGCTACGTACACAAAGATCAGCTCTTTAAACTCCTTCCCGACGGACCAATCCTTGCCGAAATTAACATAATAACTATTAATATATTAAAACTAACCTAAGCATTAGCGTTACGGAATTGTTATGAACCCCGTTGCGGGTGGTCTAAAGGCCATGTAAATGTAGTAAACATTTGACAATTTACTCCAAACGGCGTCTTTTTAAATAAATCTTGTCGTCGTTGCCGGAGCATTGGTCGCCGTTGGTCGCAAAGTCCAAGTAACGCTTGAAAGATTTGGGAACGAAACGAAACCCAATATTTGGATGCCGAGATCTATCTCGATCGCGACCAACTGGTTTCTTCGTAGGCAGTTCCTTCTGGAGAGAAGAGGTAATCATCCTCTCTCCTTCTTCTGGTCACGACATTTCTCTGGCTACCGATAGAGACTCACAAATGCTTCCCTCCACTCTACCAACTTCGATGATGCTTTCACTTTATTCCGAGACATGCTTCACTCTCGTCCCCTCCCTTCCATCATTGACTTCACCAGAGTCTTAACTGCCATCGCCAAGATGAACAACCATAACGACGTCGTCGTCTTCCATCTCTGCCGCGAGATGGAGACTTTGGGGATCTCACACGATCTCTACACCTACACTATCTTGATTGATTGTCTCTGCAGATGCTCTCGTCTCTCTCTTTCTTTCTCTGTTTTAGCAAAGATGATGAAACTCGGGTTTGAGCCTAGTATTGTCACACTTGGATCTCTCATCAACGGATTCTGTCACGATAATAGGTTCCACGAGGCTCTATCTCTCGTTGATAAATCCGGATATGAACCTAATGTTGTCATCTACAACATTGTGATTAACTGTCTTTGCAAGAACGAAGATGTTGATGACGCGTTGGAGCTTTTTAGTTTAATGGAGAAGAAAGGAATCAGAGGAGATGCTGTTACCTACAACACTCTGGTAAATGCTCTTTGTAACTCTTGTAGATGGAGCGAGGTGGCTCGGCTTGTGAGAGATATGATGAAGAGGAGGAAGATAGATCCTAACGTGATTTTTTACAGCGCGATGATCCATACGTTTGTGAAGGAAGGTAATCTCTTAGAGGCTAGAAACTTGTACAAGGAGATGCTCCGGAGATCTGTAGATCCTAACAGATTCACATACAATTCACTGATCTACGGGCTATGCCTTGATGGTTGCCTAGGTGAGGCCAAGCAAATGTTGGATTCGATGGTCTGTTTTCCGGATGTAGTGACGTATAATACTCTCATAAATGGGTTTTGCAAGTCTAAGAGAGTAGAGGAAGGGATGAAACTCTTGTGTGAGATGTCTCGTCAAGGAATTGTAGGCGACGCTTTCACTTACAACACTCTTATCCACGGCTATTGCCAAGCGGGGAAACTCAGTGTCGCGCAAAAGGTTTTCTGTCGGATGGTTGATTGTGGTGTGGCTCCTGATGTTGTTACCTACAACATTTTGTTAGATTGTCTATGTAGTAACGGCAAGGTAGAGAAAGCGTTGGTGATGGTAGAGGATATGGAAAAGAGAGGAATTTATGTTGATATTGTTACGTATAGTATTGTCATACAAGGGATGTGTAGAATTGGTAAGGTGAAAGAGGCTTGGTCTTTGTTTTGTAGCCTTACTCTCAGAGGACTGAAGCCTGATGGTATAGCATACAGAACAATGATATTAGGATTGTCTAGGAAAGGTCGACGGCGTGAAGCTGATAAGCTGTGTAGACAAATGAACGAAGATGGGATTATTATGCCAGTTAAATGCATGAATAATGATGAGATACTTAGAGATCGCCACACAAGCTCATCATTGGCTGAACTCATCAAAGTTATCCATGAGTAAAAGCGTTTCTGTAAAGATAGATCCTAGGAACAAATTAAAAATGTAACATTTTTTTTGTCTTGTATTCGTTTCTACGCAATTTTCGTATAAAACAAAGTTTGCCATCAAAATGTTTGTGTAAAGGCGTTGGCCAACTCTTAACTGTTGAAAAACCCACTTATCTACTCTCAGCACAATGGAACACCGCTTGAGGTATTACTTTGATAAATTTATGACGTGTCTTTGATGAACTTTAATCGAGTTTGTTAGTATTTGAGATATGGAAATTGATGTTTTAGAAATCGTTATTTCATAGCACCAACTGATGATGATATCTTCCCACTAAGGAATAGTTTGATACATGTTTGAATTCGATATGTAAGTGTTACTGTTCTGCACCAAGATAGCTTAAAATGCCTCAGAAATTAAGTTCAACATGTTCTTTGGTGTTGTACATATTGATTATCCACAAACTGACTGATGGGAGCTGAATAATTCTTAGGATTATCATCTGTATTGCAATAAGGCTCTGCCCAGATCTATTCTGAAATTCAGATTCCTAACGATAACGGACCCCAGGGTAGTAATATGAATCACTGTAGAAAAGAATGAACCGAGTAAGGAAATCTCCCATACCAAAATTAGACAAGTTTGTGACAAACCTGAAACTGATAAGTCAGGAGTTGGGAATCCAAAATTTATAGCTCTGCAAGAAAGCCAAGAGGTTAATGTATAAAAGACTGCGGCTGAGAGCAAGCGTAGAATGATACTGGAGCAATCTTATCCAATACCCAGAGTATAGCATCATTCCAAAATTTCTATAAGAGGGGTTCACTTACTCAGAATCCTTAATAACACGATCCACATGAGCACCACTAATGGCAGTGCGTGGAATCTCAAGATGGTTCTGCCAATACCAAAGGAAAGGAATCTCAGAACTTTGAAAAGATAAAAAGAAAAGAGATTTTTTGGGTAACTGGAGAAGCTCATAAAGCAAACACACCGTAGCTCTATGAATAGCGCACAAGCAACCACAACTCACATCCTCCTGGAAAGGTATTTGTATATTTCTTCTGCATTTCTGGAGTGCAACTGAGCCCCTAAAAATATCATAGAGACAACGTCTGCAAGTTAGATGTTGAAAGCAACAAAAGCACATGCAAAATTAAACAGAAGATAACATCCAAATCTAGCTTTTTGTAATGATTGGTCACAACTTGCGTCCAGATATTCACAGCCTTCTGGTTATATCTATGCTTTCATGAAAAACAAATATCCGAAGAGGGTAGCAGAAACTGCAATGGGCAACTTACAGCAAGGATACTAGCTGCGAACTTCAGCAGTATAAGCATCAATTGTATCAAGCCTTTTGTATATTTCTTCAAGCCTTAGAGACAGCAGATCTCCTTCAGCTGTATTTTGGGTAGCCGGTTCATCCTTACTTGTGGCTTCTTTCACCTCCAGTTCTCTCTTCAGATAACCAAACAATAGTCAACATTACCACCAATGATTGATGAAACCGAAAAAGAGGCAAAACATTCAAACTAGTCAACGCTAATATCACAGCAATGACTCCAACTATTAGTAAATAAGCTTGTAGCTAACCTGCTTGGCTAGTATATGAGTTTCTTCTTCCAACAGCTTGGATTTTACAATGTCAGTGTTAATAACACGTTGTAAAGCTATCGTGTTGCCACGAACTACTTCTTGCTTGACATGCAATACATTTGGACTTATGTCGCCTGTCCAACACACTTCCTTTGTTTCTTCACTTACGGGATGGCGAAAGAGGACCCAATCTCAACCGAGCAACACCTACGTGTTCCTTTGATTCTGCATCTCTGCTCTTTCTTGGTGTCCTCTTTCTGCGTGATCTACTAGGACTAAATTTTGTCATGTTCGCTTTATCTGCTGGTTCTGTCTTCCCTGTGTCCCTAACCTTACTACATGAGGGACGGCTACTGGTATCCAGACTCAACCAAGGACTGCTTGGAGAATCAGTGCCTAGTTCTTTGCCAGAACCTACATCTGTTGAAGCCACTTCTACCGCAAAGCTTCTGTTATCCTGCAGATGGGAAAGTTCATGCATCACCAAAACTATCCACACGCCACATAACTAAGCAACAAAAGAACATCTCCAAAACTATTGGAAATTAGGATCCATACATGCTTTAATCTATTTGCTCACAAGGCTCTTATATATGGGAATAAATTACCAAATAAGAATGCTGCTCCCTGAGGCACCCTGTACATAACTGAATAAATAATTACAACTTACCTTATTTTGCATCTCAATGATTTCTTCGCATTCAGAGCCCTCTTCCCCTTCCGAGTCAGTCATCTCTTCACACTCAAACTCGACATGTTCTTCCATCGTCTCTTCGTCAGAATCACTTAATTCCTCTTGTTCCATCACTATGCCAAGATTAGATTGATCAGCCATCTCGTCAATGCCTCTATCACTCGTTGCAGTTGATCCAGGCATTTCAGAGCCATCTTCACGTTGAATCATGCAGACGTCTGGAACTTCTGAAATACTTGCTGCTGAGACACTACCACAATCTTTTTCCTTGGAAGATCCAGGACTTAGATTGATACCTGAGTTCACATTTATAGCATGTTTGTTAGAACTTACAAACTCCAGGCTGACATCATTACGAGTAGCACCAGGGATACAAGTCTTCTCAACAGCACTAGAAGTATCCTGACATAATTTGCGTTTCTTGCCAGTATCTGTGTCTAAGTTCCCACGCCCACTAATACGACAACTCGTTTCACACTCAGTTCTTTGAAGAAGAGGATGAAAACAGCTGTCTCCCGGTGCTGCCTCGTGATCATTTGATGATGCTTCTTTCTGAAACTGATCAACTGAATGATTGATTTGCCTTGGACTGTTAAAAAGACTCAGCAGCTGAGGTCGATTGTCAGAAAAGAAACTAAAGGCACTGGAAACTCTTTGGTCTCTGTTTGAAGGGTAACATGAAATCTGTCCATGCTCAGGGGTCCGGAACAATAAAGGATGCATTTGAAGATCTGAGTCATTGTCCGTCTCGCCCATCCCAGAGGAGCTCTCTGCAGGCAAATCTTTCTCGCAGGGGGGACCGTTGTTATCTCCCTCGGCTGAGAGGCAAGGAGGTTCAGTACCCAAAGCCCCCCTCTCAGAAACACTGGACAAGCCACCTTTAGTGATACAAGTTTTGGAGGATGCTTCAGACTGATTCTTAGCAAAAGCAGACTGTGAGATAACACGGACCGAAGATGGAAGGTTAAGTGGAGGTAAATCAGGGGCTAGTCTCACTACACTTTTGTTACGTAGTTTTCGACCACGGTGATATAAATGCATAGTTACTGGTGCTCTTGAGGTACTGGGTGATATACCAGATGTGTGGTGGTACTGATGAATGAAAGAAGATGCAAGCATCCGCGTGTCTGTCAGAATTTGCGCAGTTTTAGACCCTTCACCAGTACATGTTTGTACTGGCTGATTGCGGCCAACATCTTTTGCATTGCCAAAGGAGTGCATAGATGTAGAACAAAAGAGAGTTGGCATGCCAGGCCTCCAGTCTGCTAAAAATCCTTCATGAAGGTATGTGTCACCTGAATTTTCCACCAATTCATGTCCAACATGATTTTCATTGGCCTTAGAAGTAACATGACGGTCCTGCAACATGTAGTGAGAAAAGTGAGTAAAGGTAAACTACATTTTTATCAGAAAGCCAAGATTAGTGGATTGTATGATTTGAAGGTACCCACAGATATGAAATACATACCTCTTTTGCAGATGCCGTCTGCTCTCTGGACTTTCTTTTATTTGAATCATATAATCGCCGCTTCTCCTTTTTGTCATCATCTAGCTTATACGACTTCTGGATTCCAAGGGCGGTACGCCATTGCCTTGGCAATATGGATGGATCTCGATAAGGCACAACGAATTTCCACACCGACATCCAATCATGTTTGAAGTACGCAAGTCCCTGAGCATTCAAATTTATACTCAACATTCAAATTTACTTTCCTAATCAAATTGCGAAAGGGTGAGCTAGTTGAATTACCTCTTGTATACGTTCTATCTCTTGCAGGTTCAGGGGAGAGCTTTTCATCCTCAAAACTGCCTGTAGGTGGCAAAATATATACGTACACACCAGTGAGGATAAAATAACCTTGAAACTGAGGTTGGAAGATAATCAGTTACATATCGTTGTTAGGCATCAGTCTGGATCGGTCTTATACATGTAATGCTGATTTGTATATCGTATGTATATGTAAATTAAGCCATGGCATGCATATTATATTCTATGACAATGAGTTCGTATAATGTTTCTCCTACTTGCATGTGATATAGTAAAGGTTTCACGGTGCTTATTTGTCGACAAAACAAGTTCAGGCCACTGACTTTGGGGAACCGACATGCAGACAGATAAGAATACAAATAGAAAGGTGATAAACTAAATCAAGCATATACCAGACCTTAATTGGATTTTCTGGCGCTTTAGATGATCTCCGGTTTTTTTGCCTAACATAAATCTGAAACAAATAAGAGTAGAATGTATTAGAAGAGAGAAGTCTTTCATTCCTTGATCATCAGCCTGGTTGATGAACAACCTATCAAAACAGATGGACATGCATATCCTGAGCTACATTAATTCAATACAGTTACGTTTAAAAAATCAGTACACTAACTCATAAGCCTCTGGAATGAAAACAGGTTAAAAAAAAACACAGACCTACTTCATATGCAACAGGAATTGCATCGACTTACAGTTTTGGTCAGAATACCACTCATGATATTGAAAAAAATCCAATCAATACGAACTGATAACTTCGTAGTCCTTTTCTCATATCTAGAGAAATCCAGTGATGATTACCTGATGCTCGCCTTTACATGGAAGAAAACGCTGCTTTATTGCCTTCCAGTCTGAATTATATTCCATAATTCCAAGAGCCAATAGTCTGCATACAAGCAGCACAACGAATCAAATTTTCAACTAGATTATAGCAAGAAAAAAAAAAGAGGAAAGGAAAGGAACTTACTCATCCTCAGCGTCAGTGAAAAGGAAACGATTGCTAACAGCTGCAACAGGTGGCTTGTGGGGAAATAGCGATACTTTGAACAAAGGCAGAAATCTTTTAGCTAACACAGCGATATCCTTATGAACCAAGGCAACAGACTGCTTCTTGGCCGATTCAACGAGGGCACCAGCTAACGTCTTCTTAGACTGCTGCTGCTGATGTGATGGTGATGACATAGGGGCAGCTGAAGGAGGATTGTTGATATGCTGGAGAGGGAGTGTAAATAATGGCACTCTTTGAGGCAAAGCATCAAAACCAGATTCCACTTGACACCTTCGATAATCTTGAACGGCTATACAATGGTTCAACAATCAAAACAATTATATATACCAATTTTTTTAAAAAAAAAAAACATATAGCAGACTATCTTTCAACACAATAACCTACCTTTAGAAACATCAGTTAGATATCTCCCAGCTAAATTCACAGTATCAGAGGGAAGAAGATGACTTCCTCCTTGGTGTTGTTGTATCATCTCAGAGATAAGTCCTTGGACTTGAGTGCCAATGCCTTGGCGTGAATGATCAAGTGCACAAAGAGAGTAAACCTGGATTAAAAGCTGAAGATGATCTTGCATCAAACAATTCAACTCTCCAATTTGCGTTTGACTGAAAACAATTCTTTTCTCGTTTGCAGCCACCGAGGAAGCAGCAGCAGGAAGTGATTCAGTAGGAGCAGGAAGCAACACACTAACAGGCTGTATAATTGGTAAAATAGGGCGTAACAATCTGCTAGTAGCCGCCGCCTGCTGCTCAGGAGAATCGATTATGTGACGAAAAGAGGAAGAGATGTTGTTGTTTTGTCGCCTCCTCTTAGGCCGTTGCTTAGTGAGTTTGTTGTCATCCTTTTCAGGTATAGCTTCGTCGTCATCGGTCTCCAACGCTTCTTCGAGTTCTATCTCAAAGTCTTGGTCGTTATCCTCATCATCTTCATGTACCAAATGAACCTCATCAGAGGAGTCGTTACCGCTGTGTAAAACGGCGGTTAGAAACTTGCGGTACTCTTCCTCGTCATCAACATTAGGAATGTCGTCTTCATCATCAGTCTCCTGAAGGAAAGCTTCAAGATCGTCGAGAGTGAAGCTCTCGAGGGAGTACTTCGCTCTAGTTCGCTTGCAGATTGCGTCATCTTCTTCCTCCTCCAAACCTTGCGGTGGTGGAGAGACCTTAGGGATTGATTCGACTTGCGCGGCGATTTCCTCCTTTTGTGAGGTTTGCGTAATGCTATTGACGGGCTCGGCGTCGAGAGTTTCGACATCGGAGCTTAAACTGGAAGAAGCTTCACGGGAAGGTGTTTCCTTTAGATGAGGATTGAAATCGACGTCTTCTTCTTCTTCCTCTTCCTCTTCGGAAATTAGGGTTTTTAATCGATCGGAGGGTTCCATAACTTTAGGGTTGGTTCCCCTATCAAAAGAATGAGTTTCTTCGATTTTTGAGGTTTTTTTCAATTTGTTTACTTTTGAACACATACCAATCGAAAAGAAAGGGTTGAGCTTTAACGCATCGTGACAGAAAGCTAGGAAGAAGAATAGGGGAGGGAGGAGAGAGAGAGAGAGAGAGAGAGAGAGAGAGAGAGAGAAAACAAATCCCTTATATATTAATTGATATATTAATTGAGGAACATTTGAAAAGATGTAACCTCAATTTTGTATTAATTAAAAGAGACCCCAATGCATACGTGTCATTCAATTAGGTAGTCAATTAAATTCAATTGAAAAATAAGTAAGTCCACATTGGATTTTTATAGGTTGTTAGATACATTAGTTAGTCAAACTATATGATATAATGATATGATATGCTATT